TTACAGCAAATGTGCCGTAACTTTTTATAATTGTTTAATATAGTTACGGCATGTTACGGCAAAGTTACGGCATCATTGGGACAATTCGCCTGTATCTCTAGTACCAACCCTTTATTTCCAGCGCATATATATTTAATTATTAAGAATATATTTTTAAAAATCTGGAAATTCAAGATATCAGGGACTTAACTTTGATGAAAATTTAATAGCTTTTATAAAATTTTTAACAACTTCATTTAACAATTCGTTTATTTACATCAAAACTGCGAGAATAGTAAGAAATTAAATAGTAAAAACTAATATAATGTTAGTTGACACAGTTTCTTCTCGAATATTTGGTCTTCTGAAGACTAAACAAACTTAACTCGACAGAATTTTACTTAAGCCAATCAGTGTGATGATTGGACTCGAGTGGGTCAGCCAAGATTTAAACCTATAAGTCTGCGTCAAATCCGTGGGTCACTTATAAAGCAAACTCATTATCTGCAATTATAAATACTTAAATATTGTTATTTGTTATAATAACCAATTTTGTCAGCAAATAAATGCATCTAAACATTATTCTTATATGCCAATTATTCTTTTTTTTCAATAAATTTATCCGGTATAATCCGATAGCGACCTCCTCCGGAATTATCCGATAACCGACCGATGACCCTAATTCTTCCGTAAATAAGCTTGCGAAGCTGCTTTTTCTCCGGAGCAGTTTTTTATGATATTGTAATATTTATTGTGAGATCCGAAAGGTGGTTAAGTTGGGTCCGGAATGGTATAACGTGACCACAGGTCACGGGGTAAAATTGCATAAGTTAAACTTAGTGTTCAAAAAGGCCAGGTCAGGTCGGGCACGGGTCAGGCCCGCATGGGTCATGGACGACCCAGCCCGGCCCGTGGGTAATTGGACCATATGACCTGCGGGTCTGGCCCACGGGCCATTAACACGTGTCTAACTTGACAGCCAATAAAACAACCTTACATAATAGACGCACCAAATGTAAATTTATTTAATCGATAAAAAAAATACAACTATTTATTTGAGTACAAGAAAATTCTAAATTTAATTAAATATCTCTCTCAAGCCAACTTTTTAAGCACAAACTAGCACGTACCGTTGATGGTCTTAATCTATTTCTTTTTTTTGTAATAGTGTTACTTGCAATACTGAAGGCTTGTTCACAACTTACACTGGTAGCCTGCAGTACCAAGTAATCTTGTGCCATTAAACTTAAAGTTGGAAATTCATTAGCATGACAAGACCACCAAACCAATGGATCTATTCCAATATCCTCAACCAACTGTAAGTAGCGATCTAATTCACTATTTAGTGGTTTAAGTAAATAGTTTTGATTACAGTCATTAAGATGAGCAAAGTATTCATGTAGATTTTGTGGAGCTTGGGAATTAGACATTGAGGAAGTAGTAGTGGTGGTGTTATGATTAAGTTGAAGATAAGTATGAAAGACATTTTGAATTGTATTTATAGCAGTAATCCGTTTTTCACCTTCAAAATCTGACAACTTATACCTTGGATCTAGGATAGTTGAAATGGTACATTTTTCATCTATTAATTCTCAATAAGATTCAATTTTTTGAATAATTGATGCTGCTATTTCACTTTCTTTAAATGTATTTTTACCAATATGTTTGTTAAGGTGTGTTTGGATTGCTAAAAAAACTTGATACACTAACCCATTGTGAGATATAAAGCAGCAGATAGAAGTTTTGTTGCCTTTTCCATTAGATCTAATAAAATTAATGTATCATTGATATGTTGAGAGTCTTCTGAATTTGGAAAAATTTCAACTAATTCATCATGATTGGCAATTAACATTTTTATAACAGTTTCAATTTTTTTAAATTTAGTGAGCATGTAGAATGTACTATTTCATTGAGTCTCAATATCAATTTCTGGAGCTAAATAGATAATATTTTTTACATCACATAATGATCAAAGTTCATCACACAATACAATTGAATTTTTAATTTTTGACATTAAATTTTGTACTTTATTAATCAATGTGTCGATTAATTCTAACCCTTGTTTTACTGATTGATTAATAATATGTACCACACATCGATAATGACTAAACTTATTATTATGAAATTCATGAATCAATTTTTTACCTAATTCTCTATCTAAAACAGTCATTGCAGATTCATTATTAGTTGTTAGTCCAATAATTTTTTTATTAAGGGAGAATTCATTAAGAAGATAAGTAAACTCATTTAAAAGATTTGGTGCTATATGATATTTATTGAGTAGAATAATATCTAGCAAAAAATGTTCAAGTTTCTACTCTATATTCAAAAATGAATTGTAACCCCATAAATGCCTCATTATTAATATTTGACCATAAATTGAGAGTAAATGCTATTTTACCTCGCACTTGTTTTAAATCATTTTTAATTTATTCTCGATGTAAATCAAATTCTGACATAATTATATTTTTAATTTTTGTTTGGTCAGGAATTTTATATCATGAATCTAATTTATGTACGAAGTTTTTAAAATGAATATTTACCACTACAGTGAATAGTTGTTGATGACAGACAACCCAAACTAATAAACAAAAATCCTATTCTTTTTGATCATTTAAACTATGTAGACGTGAATATTCAAGTTGTAACTTTAATTTATACAGTTTTTTTGAGGTAATGTTATGCTTTCGTTCTAAATGCCTTCATAATATAGAGGTTAAAAATTTTCTTGTAAATTGCTCATTACATTTTAAACAATATGGAATATTGTTTTTTTTTTTAAAATAATTCCATACAGGAGATGTTAAACATGAATTCATTTGACTAACAGAATTACTTGGTGCAATACTACTAAGTGAAGTTAATTCATCTTGGTCTTCATTAGTTACAACATCCTCCATATCACTTAAATCATATAATTCCTCTAGTGAAATTGCATGTCCTCTAACTCAATTAGGTTTGTAATTTTCATTGTTTAAAAAAAAAAAAATAAAAAAAAAATTGATTTAATTTTTTTTTTGTTGAGATAAAAAACTTGTAGATAATACATGTACTTTATTTATATTAAATTTTAGATCTAATTTTTTTTGGCTTATCGAATTCAAAGTTACTTGATTTTTTTTTTTATTACATTTTTAGTTCATTAAAGTGAATTGTTAAGACAAGAGATTGAGATGAGAGTTTCTTTTTCTTTTTTCATATTTCATACTAAATTTGGATCTTTTTTTTAGCCTATTGAATTTAAAATTATCTGATCTTTTTTTTTCACATTTTTAGTTCATTGAAGTGAATTGTTAAGACAAGAAATTGAGACAAGGAGTTGAAACGAGGGCTTAATTATTATTTTTTTTATTTTTTTTTTTTTTATATTTTATATTAAATTTAGATTATTTTTTTTTTGGGTCTATCAAATTTAAGTTACTTGACTTTTTTTTTTGTATATTTTTAGTTCAATAAAGCAAGATATTGTGGAAAGTTGAGATAAGGGTTGAGACAAGGGCTTAATTATTTTTTTTATACCATATTTTCATAGAATAATGCTTACCTGCACATTATTTTGAGTATATGTATATTATTTTAAGTATGCGCATAAGCATTATTTTGAGACAATAAAAAAATTTAAGTAATTCTTGTATATATAAAAAATAAACAAAGATACTTCAGAACTAGATTTAGTACTAAATAAACCTTCCTTTGGCTTTGCCAAAAGTTGTTCCAAGAAACAATTTTTATTGAAGTTTGAAAGTTTACTTAGTACTAAATCTAGTTCTGAAGTATTTTAAGTCTTACTATTGGGTACGCATTATTTTGGAATGCGTATGAGTGTTATTTTAAAACCATATACATTATTTTAAGAGGGTACAATTTTCAAAATAATGCTCATGAGTGTTATTTTATGAAAATAAGTATTTCATTAAGTACTTGACTTTTTTTACATTGAAACCAGGAGTTGCCCAACATTTTTTGCTTCTCATTAAGAAGTTGCCTAACTTTCAAATTGAAACTAGGAGTTGCTCAACTTTCTTATTGAGTTGCCTAACTTTCTTATTGAGACTAGGAGTTGCTCACTTTCTTATTGAGACTGAGATAGCGCTATAAACCAAACCCGAATAGGACAGTTTGCGATTTCTACCTAATTTGGGTTCGGAAGTTGATACTCTTTGAAATTCCAAATTCAATTTGAAACCCAATCCTGTATCTATTTATTTTTGTATATCCTAAACCTCAAGAACTAATCAATTATACGAAATAAATATAGCACAGAATGAAACACGTGTGGCATATATAGTAGTGCAGGAGAATTATTTTACAATTGCAAAAACAATTCTCTTGCATTACTAGACAATAACAATTTATTTGTCTTATAATTCGCACTCTAGCCAGCAATATATAAATTTAGGTTATAACAAGTTTAACACAATTGCTAAATCTAGTAAAAACCTTTAGGAATTTACTAAATTACAAACTGTCAGGTTTGGTTTATATCGCTAGACTGGAAGTTACTCAATTTTCTCTTTAAGGCCAGGAGTTGTCCAACTTTTTTATTGAGACTAGGAGTTGTCTAATTATTTTTAGTTCATTGATATAAGAGTTTTTTTTTCAGTTTATTTTTATCGAAATGATTATTTTTTTTCAGGTTTGATTTATATAACAATACAAAATAAATAAAATAAAATCTAAAAGAATATATGAATTTATTTAACTTTTATTCCAATCAGCTCTACAAATCTTGTTCTGCTTTAATTTCGTTTAATAATGTATTCAATTTTATGCATTACACTAGTATTCTCATATGTATAACAGATTTTTTATAATATACAGTATAAATTCCTTGTGTTCATTTATTTTCATAACAATAACCAATATCAAATATTCATTTAGTATACTCGTTTTAGCAAAATTTTGGCTATAAATAAATATTTTATTGATACTATAACTCACTCAATTTACTTACACTGTACGTATAACAATTGAAGTTTAGATACATATAATCTTAATTATAATTATTTTTGCCTAATTATTAATGTTAAAACATGAATGTATCCTCCTTAGTTCCAATAATAGCAATACGAACTTTAATATTAACAAAACTTCTATTTATAATATGTTATTTATTTTTATAGCTCATTAAATTGACAAACTTCATTTACAATAGAAAAAATTATAATATTACTTACTCTTTTTAAGAAAAATTAGCTAGGTTCCTATTAAATATATAATTTACTTATTTTATATCTTATTAGCTTAAATTCTATTTAATCTCATCATTCAATTTAATTGAAATTTCTACTTATATGTTATGATAATTGTTAAAATTATAAAAAATTTTAATTTTCATAAGTATTTAACTTGAATTATAAGATTAAATAGAATTTAAACCAATAAGATATAAAATATAGTATGATTACTGAGATTAAAAGTGATGGTTTAATCAGCAATTATAAAAGTCTTATGAATTGCTTATGAGTTGCTTATAAGTCACTTACGAGTCACTTGAGTTTTTTATATTCTAGTTATAAGCAGTACTCTGAACAAATTAGCTTCTAAATCAGATTAATTTCGAATTACTTAAGCTAAGCAATTTATATATATCACTTTGTTATTATCTAATTTCTATAATCAACTTTGTCTAATAATATTTTTTTGATATTTATGCATAGAGGTGAAAAATTCAATAACTATAAATTTAAATAAGGTTCAAATCATTCAAATTTAAGAATTATGACCTGAGTAAAAATCACTACCTGCTACTATATAGTCACTCAAGATATATAGTAAATTACTCAGATAACTTGAGTAATTTAATAATATCTAAGTTAAATATTCTACTATATTTTTGCGTAATAATGCTCACCTGCATATAATTTTGAGTATATATGCATTATTTCGAGTATACGTATGAGCATTATTTTAAGATAATTAAAAAATTTAAGTAATTCTTGTATAAAAAGTAAACAAACAAAAATGCTTCGGAACAAGATTTAGTACTAAGTAAACCTTCCTTCGGCTTTACCAAAAGTTGTTCTAAAGAACAATTTTTATTGAAGTTTAAAAGTTTACTTGGTACTAAATCCAGTTCTCATAGGATGACTTTCTTCTGATTGGCTAATGTAAATCAATTGCCTGAGTAACTTATTTATATATTTTAAAGTACTTTTTGAGAACATAATGTTTTACTAACAAAAAATCACTATGAAAGCAAATTCTAGTTCTAAATGAACGTAGTTATTCACTGTTAAAATTAATTTAAAATAATTCACCTCTCCAAGAACTTAACTTAGAAGTGAATATTTTTACTATATACTACTAATAATAGTTATATTAACTATATATAGATTTTAAATACCAAAAACGGTCAATAAAAAAGAAGATTAAAACATTACATGTAAACTTTAAACTTAGAACTTTGAGTAAACTGTTTATTATGCTATATACTATAATAATAATAGACTTGTATTACTATTTGCTATATATTTTACATTTATAGAGTTATATTACGAGAGTAATAAATGTACTTTGGGTTAAGTAGTAGTCAATAATATATATGTACTATTGTTTTATTAATAATTATATAGATTAAGGGTTATGTAGGTTATGTCGCATTTTTTAATAAAGGTGTGGTAACTTAAAATAAGATAGAATTATTTTAATTACTTTTCAAAATATAATAAATACTAAAAGATAGCTTCGTTAATAATTTATTTATATTAAATTTTTTGATCGATTTGAGATTAGGTTTATTAATAATAAATATTAATTTACGTGTTATTTAACTATTTCTAAAAATGAGACAAATTCTTTTTGTATATATTATAATTTGTAAGCTTCTTAATATAAAGTTCCTTTTATTTTATAGTAGTATTAAAATGATAAATCTTTTTGGGTAGATCTACTGAAATAATGCTCATGAGTATTATTATGCAAAAATAAGGTAATTATATTTATTTTTGTATGTATTTAATAAATATGATCAACTAAACTTATACGTAAAGTGATTTTTGATATAAATTTGGTTTTATGTATCTCAGATTATATTATTTTAATAAATTAATTCTTGCAAATATAGAATCATTCTTCTAATATTATTTATATATTGTTTGCTATAAGATTAAAATAATTGTACAATTAATTCTTTAGAGGCTTAGAAAAATTTAGAGTATTTAGAGTATTGCAGTGTATAAATCTGCTTATTATATTTAGGTTTTTTTGTGAGAACAATATACAAAAATATTTTTATTATGAGCAGATTTATATATCGCAGTACCCTGAATACTCTATTAATGAATCAAAAATTCTCAAACAATATTACGGAAATAAAATAATATGTTAAATTTAAAAAATAGTTATAAAAAGATTAAAAAAAAAATAAAATTTTTTCTAAAAAAAAAAATCTCTATTTTTTATTAATTAAAATAAATAAACATATAACAAAACAAATGATTTCTATATTTTGTGCCTTATCCTTCATAAAGAGCATTTCTGGTTCAAATAAAGTAGAATTGGGTTCACAATTTATCAAACTGCAATTGATGAGTTTATAGAATATAAATTTAAAGCCTTTTATACAGGAGAGTCATCGCTTATTAAAGAATTAACTGAAAAAACTATAACTATGTTTATTGGTTGTTTTGCATTTAAAGACAAATTAAATGTAAATATAAAACCCAATTTGTCTATACTAATTTAAAAACATTTTTATATATGATTATAGATTTTGGTCAAATTCTGTCAAACAGAATTCTAAAAATTCACTTTACAAGATACAATATTTAAAGTCCACTAATAATTAATAATTATACTTAATTTATTATAGACTTTGAATATTATATCTTGTGAAGTGATAATTAATTTCTGAAATTCTGTTTGTCAGGATTTGATCAAAATATATAATAATGATATA